AGTTCTACTTAATCATTCCTTTTAAAGATTTGTGATCTGTACTCACTAAAATAATGGGAAATGCCAAATTGGTAATGGTGGATTTGGCGAAAAATATGTACCCTGAAATCTCTGCAAGGAATGAATGTTTTAATTTTTCCCAGTGCCCCATCCCAGATAGGCTCCTCAGTTCATACCTGCACATTGGGGAACCCATTGATCTGAAAGAGGTCTCTTACTTCTAAGAGAAAAAACATACTCCACAAGATATAGGTCCTGCAACTGTGATAGTACAGTGGGGTGGGAGGAAGGGAGTGGTATTTAAGATACTTAAAATTCCAGGCTTGGAAATTATTTTAGAAATTATAACTGATTTTATGAGAAATTAAGGAGCGTTTGACTATACCTTATATGTGTAAATTAAATTACCTTAATGTCCTTTGCAGTAAATTGAATACTTTTCTACCCATAAGAGATTAAGCCATAATTTGTCCTACTTTTTAAAACCGTGTATTAATGACACTTCCAACAAGAGAAAAACTATTTCTACATTATTATAATTCTCTATACTGAATCTAAATGTTAACTCAGACTTTCTCAACTCAGATTGATTCCCAAGAGACAAAAAGTTGGGGCATCTGGCTGGAGCAGTTGGTTAGAGTGTGACTCTTATTTTTTAAAAATATGTATGTACTTATTTGAGAGGAGAGAGCATGTGTGAGCAGGGGAGGGGTGGAGAGAGAGGGAGAGAGAGAATCCCAAGCAGGCTCTGTGTTGTCAGTGCAGAGCTTGACATGGGGCTTGATCCCATGAAGCTGTGAAATCATGAGTTCAGCTGAAGTCAAGAGTTGGGTGCTTAACCAATTGAACTACTCAGGTGCCCAGAGCATGTGACTCCTGATCTCGGGGTCATGAGTTTGAGCCCCATGTTGGGTGTAGAGATTACTTAAATGAATGAATAAATAAAAACTCTAAAAGGCAAAAAGTTGTTTTTATTGAAATTTAGCTCTTTCAAAGGCTTGTTCCTCACTCAGGCAATTATGTAAATTGCTTTGGAACGCTTCTGCAGTGGTCTTGTCACTTTTAGTCAAAAACTGAACAAGAGGACAATTTGTCCAGCATATTTGGGCTGCTTTTGTTAGCCTTTAAAAACCGAAAGGGAAAAAGTATAAATCAGCTATGATCAAAAGCTTTTTAAATTCTAAGCTGCCTGTTTGTCCTGGTAGTTCAGAAGCATTCAAATAATCCATGACAACATGGCAGACATCTTCATAGGTTGGCCAAGTGTGAGAATCAGTATATATATTGACTGTTTGGCAACTGGCCTGATTAATAATTTGTGATCACTATTAAAGATTGGTTTAATGATTCTTTTTAAACGTAGTGTTTGGCTTATTAATAACTTTTCACATTTTTGCATTTGAGTTAAAATTAGCATCCACTAGAATTCCATTTAAAAAATCTTATTTTTTAAGTGTGTATAGGTGCATGCATGGACTTATGTATGCCATAATGAAATGCTTTGGTGCTGGAAAAAGCCAGTTGTATGAGAGATCTGAAAACATTTTAGTATAATCTAAAAAAATCAAGGGCAGTATATATGATATGCTATTCTTTCTGTCGCGCACGTGTGTGTGTGTGTGTGTGTGTGTGTACACGCACATTTATGCTTGAGCATGCTTATAATCAAGTCTTTGTAAGGATGGATATACAGTAATATGGTTCATTCCATATTGTCTTCTGGAGGAATAGCTAAGGCTTAGGTAGGAAGGAGACCCCCCCCTGCCCTTTTTTTAATATGTATCCTTGATTTAAAAATTTATTTTTCACACACATGAATTACGTATTAAAAAAAAGTTTTTAGTTTTTCTTTCCACCCTATAAAGTATTAAAAGTGAAAACGTTCATTCTAATAGTTTTGTTTTTGTTTAGTTCATTGGGGAATTTGAATTCTACCTTGGATCAGACTAGGTATCCTTATTCTCCAGACTCAGAAAAGATGAACAGCTAATAACAAGTAAAAATATTTTTGGGTTTCGTAGGCAATTCGCATTTTGGTTCAGGAGCGCCTGACTCAGGATGCAGTTGCTAAAGCAAATCAAACAAAAGAGGTATGTACTATTTTTTTAATAAATTCTAAGTTGATTACTAATGAAAGTTACTTCTAGTGTTGTCAGGAGTTTAAATTTTGTATCTGTTTAAGATAACCTATGGTCAGAACTGTCCAGAGAAAGGATAGCTTATTTCATTGGGATTGAATTTGGTTCTTAAGCATAGCCATTTTTGAGTGAAAAATAAACTTACCTCACTTCATACGTTAAAGCAGCTACCAGTAGCATATCCATAGTCCACCAGTACAAACCACTGCTCGTGCCCGTATATTTAAAAGAATTTGCCTTGTAAAATTTACTGTATAATTTTGACTAATGCTGGAAAACAGGACATACTTGGTCTTTGTTACAAATTTTCTTCTTTGACCTAAATCCTGCCCTTGCTCTTTTATTTCTTCAGAGAAATCTTTTCTCATTTTAGTCCTATTTCCTAGCATCACCTAGGAGAAAATAACTTATGACTAAGACCACCTAGTTGGTAAGTGGTTAAGCTCAAGCAATCTCATTCAAGAGGCAGTGCTCTTAATCGTTGATGGGGACAAAGGTCTATGTATGAAGCCCTACATGAGCTCATTGGTCAGCCCAGGAGAATTTGGGGAGGGGGTGTGGAGGCTCTATTAGAGTATAAGTTTCAGGGTTCAGGTGACTGCAGCTGTCTTCTTTCAGTCCTGCTTTGTAGGCTGAGGAAAACTACACACCATAACAGTTTTTACCTTAATTCTGATCTAGTTTTAGATAAATTCTACTAGAAATCCAAAATCCCTACAGTCTCTTTGACTATGGGACAGTGCAGACAATGTCCTCAGGGTTAGTGGCAGCAGGTGTCTCATAATGCCTCTTGGTATGAGCAGATATTGCAGTGAATGCTTTGGACACAACAAGCATTCTAGATTCCTGTCCTTTTTTTGTCTCCCCTAATTCCCCAATGTCTTTTGTCCTCTGATCCCATCTTTAGTAAGGCCCAGCAGTGTTAAAAGGTTATTAATGCCAGGCCACTGTAGTTCTCTGAAAGACACGGTTTGTTTTAAAGGATCTTGATTGCTTATTAATTATGTATGAATTGGGCCACTGGAAATTGGATTAAAGATCAGCTTATTTCACCCACACTGTAGAACAGACAGTAAATTGTTCGGCCATAGTAAAATCATCCATTCGTTGGTTCAGCAAAACTACATCTTCTGTTTGAGGGCATAGCCACATCTTTTACTCTTGTTTGCAAAGTACGGTTTTATTTTCAGTGATTCAAATCTAAGGTTTAGTGTCCTCTTAAAAGGTATCATGCTATAGGTATACAGTTGAGAAGTTCTTACAATGAGTGTTCTTGTTTATAACCATAACTAGCATTTGGGGCATGTGGTCATCTTTAGGGGTAGCTGTTCCTTGGTGGTCTGTTGGCAGATAAAAATAAGACTGACCCGGAAAACTACTCAGTCCAAGTCTACTTTTTCATTTTGCTTGCTAAATCTACATATCCATTCATTTCTTCACCTATATATTTAAGCTGTTTTGAAGTGTTTGGAGACTAGATAGATTTGCTTTAATAGAGTAGTTAAGAATTGAGTAGTGACACCCTAGCCTTTATAACATTGCAAGTATAGATTTCATATAGTATAATTAGAAAGTCTAGACTGTCCTCGTTGCTACTCTCTACTCTATGAGGCTGGCATTTATAGTCCCCATGTTGGGCATATGTGTATGTAGGTTCTGACCGGTTAACTAAATGGTTTAAAGTTCATTCATTTTCTTGGACTTAAGAATCACCTCCAAATAAACTGTTATTGAAAGGCAATCTGGTGAAGATCATACTAGCTTAATATAGATTTTAGATTTTGTATCAAGACAAATTAATGTGCTCAGAAATACTAAAAGTAAACCTCTTTGCCCTGAACTGTGCTGCTTATTGTAGCTAAAATAGGACAGCAGCAGTGACAGAACACAGCTGTGAAAGGAGCTACTATTTTATATGCCTAGTCTTAAAGAAGGGAATGGTTGGCCAAACTAGCTTCCCACTACATGTAGAGGCCATTATTTTCATCAAAAGGCAAATCGAGAAAGAAAACGCTTAGCCCCCTTGCTACTACAGCTAAAAGGGTTAACAGAATTGCTAGCTGATTTTCAGTTACGGATGACAAAAGAACATTACTCTTAAAGGTGTTTTTTTGTCCTTTTAAGGGATTGCCTGTTGCTTTAGATAAACACATTCTTGGTTTTGACACAGGAGGTAAGTGATTTCGTTTAAATTTAAACTCTTTAGAGACTAGGTGACTATTTGGGGGAGAAATGGGGAATGGTATTGAACACAGATTAATGCAGTGTTTCTTATAAAATAGATGCAGTTCTTAATGAAGCTGCTCAAATTCTGCGATTGCTGCATATAGAAGAGCTCAGAGAGCTACAGACAAAAATTAATGAAGCCATAGTAGCTGTTCAGGCAATTATTGCTGATCCAAAGACAGACCACAGACTGGGGAAAGTTGGAAGATGAACGTTTTAGGATTTCAGCTTCTCACCTACTTAGTAAAGTTGGGAACCATGTACACTCTGGCATGTGTTTGGAAATCAAATGTCACATTTTCAAGGGAAGAATCCTAGAAAATTGACTCTGTTCTTGAGATTTACCATCATTGCTTTTTCTTTAATAAAGTTCAGGAAAGTGGATTTTTTGACTGTTTGCATATTTATGTAATTTTTTCTGTCTCTATAATTAATGATCCTCTTTTGTGGTTAAGGTACATGCCAGCCCCCAGCACTATTACAGAGATAATACAGATCCTCAAATCATAGGAAAACTTAAAATATTTTATTGGAGTAATCTAGGAAATTTGAGAATCGTTACATCTTTGGTATTTATAAATGTAACTTCTGTGGGTAACTATAGAGGGACTTACAGGATCAGAAGATACAAATTGAAACATTCTAGCACCTTTTAATATAAATAGAAATACAGAGGTAAAAAAAAAAAAAAAAAAATCTTAGAACTTTTGCTGGGAAATTTCCCCACCAGTTCTGCATAGCCGCCTTTAGGTCAAGGCTTACTATCTTTAGGAGTGTCTCTATACTGACAACCAATGCTTTAATTTCTTGGCCAGAAAGAATCCTTAGAAAGATTAGATTTAGGGTCTTAACATGTTCTGGTGAGTTTGACCCTTTAAATATGGTAGAATTGCTTTAATAAGCAACAATTAAAATTCTGTTCCTTTTTTAAAACTTGTAGTAACTTGTTTTTCAAAATACAGTAGTAACGATTGAGGTATAAACTTTTCACAAGATCTATTTAGTCTTTTTGTACTGAAAATGTTCACCTTGTAGGTCCAATTCCTTTCTCACTTTCTTTGCCTTTGTATGTAGTAAATGTTCAAATGTTCTTTAGGGTCCAGATTCTGATTGTAATCTCCAAATCCTTTGTGATGTCGTATTTACTTTCTTCCTGTGAGGGGAGGTGGAAGGGACAGTGGGTGAATATTTTATAACCCAGTTGCAACAGCATTTTAAAGATGAAATATCCTTCTAGGCTGACTTTTGTGTATAGGTAAGCTAGGTAGACTTAGGGTAATCAAGATTGGTCCCCCCTGTGTAGTGGCCATTAACTTTTTTTTTTTTTTTAACAAAGTTTATTGTCCAGTTGGTTTCCAACAACACCCAGTGCTCATCCCCACAAGTGCCCTCCTCCATGCCCATGCCTCCTCCCCCCCACATCCATCAGTCCTCAGTTTGTTCTCAGCATTCAAGAGTCTCTCATGGTTTGCCTCTCTCCCTCTCCCCCAGTGTTTCCCCCCTTCTCCCCCATGGGCCTCCGTTAAGTTCTTCCTGATCCTCCTACACGTGCAAACATATGGTATTTGTCCTTCTCTGCCTGAGTTATTTCGCTCAGCATAACACCCTCAAGTTCCATCCATGTTACTACACAGGCCATTAACTTTTCTATTCAAAGTGGCCCTCCCTTGCTGGTGGTGAGGTTAGTGGCGGCAGCAGGTATCTGGGCCAAGGGTGATCAGTTAGGAGGGATCTTCTCCTCTACCCTGCTGAGCCGAAGGAGCAGCCCGGAGCATTTTGTTTACCTGTTGGGCAGTAGGGGTAGACTGCAGTTATCCCGTAGAGATGAGACCGCTGCTCTGGGAGATACTCGTCAGTAAACTGGCCGCTGTCTCTGTTTACGGATATAACACCGTCCCTGGTAACAGGAAGGAAGAGGAAAATCACGGGATTTAAGGTTGGATAGAAACTCCGTTTCAATAGAGTATCTCTGCTAACCTTCTAGAATTTTTTTTTTTTAATGTAACCAAATGAGTTTTGACTCATTTAGATTTGAAGATTTTCTAGATGAGTGGTTCTCAAAGTGGTCCCCAGACCAGCATCATCTGGGAACTTACTAGAAATACAAATTCTTCGGCACCAATTCCAACCTACTGAGTTATCAGGAATATAGGTTTTAACAATCCCTTGGAATGATTCTAATGCGACACTAAACTTTTCAGAACCACTGGTCTAACTCCATGGTTCTCAACCCTTGCTCAATGTATTACTTGAAAATCTAGTAGAATACTGATGCCTAGGCCTCATGCCAGACCAATTAAATCAAGATTGCAAGGTATGGGGTAGAAGAGCTTAGGTATCTCTCTATATTTTTAATGTTCCCCAGTTCCTCCTCAGAGAGCTCTTTTCCTCCTCCTGGGTGGACAATATATCCATCAGGTAATTTAAAAAAAAAATTTTTTTTTAAATCACATGGTACCACTTAAGGGTAGTCTTTTAGATTAAAGTACCTCCTTTTTGGATAGTTTAGTGTAAGCTCTGCCACTTTTAAGCTACATTTGAGCAACAGCATTAAGTAGGATTTTAAAAGCATTAGCACTCGAATGATGTTATCTACTAGTAAGAGATAATGAAAACTTGAGTAGAGGGCTTAGTTTACCAAAGATGCTCAGTGACATTAGGTAAAATAGGTGGTGCATCTTCCAGAATTCCAACCCCCTCAGCCGTGTTCAGTGTGCATCAGGCTCACCTCCTCCAGTCTGTGTGGTAGAAGTGATCTGCATAGCTAACGATACTAAAGGGGTAGTTGAGGTTGTTCTGGATGACACGCCGTCCGGTCCCATCAGGTAGTGTACACTCCAGTTTTTTGGTTCCTTTTAAAACAGAAAATGGGATCATTTCATACCATGAGAAAAGTCATTTGCCAAAAATAATTGTGGCAGGTAGAGGCCTTCCGAAAGGAAACAAAGGTAGACAAGGAAATAGGAGATTTCATTCCCAATGCAGTGATGCAAATTAGAAACTAAAATTTTCCTGTTCTGTTACTATTCTTCAGTTTATAATACCATTCTAGTTTTTAGAATTTAGACTTTGATCCCTTCAAAGAGAGGACTGCATTTTTTTCCCTCCTAACTAGAACATTAGGGGTAAACTTTGTACTAATTAAATTCAAGTGTCATCTCCTAAATTGTTGTAAACATCAGACAAACACTTGCCCTTCGTGAGCAATGTATAATGCCTTTGAAAAGCATTTAAGGATTTTAGTTAAAAGACTGGTTATCTTCTTGATAGGAATTAAAAGTAACTAAAATGGTGATATGGCTCTTGAAAATCTTACAGTACCTAAACAGGTCAGGAGTTTCCAAGTTTTCATGTGTCTTATGGAACCTGGATTTAAATTTCAAATAGTTTTTGAAACTATAACTGTCTAAAAAAATAACTCGTTTTGGACCAACCAGGTTATAATACTGATCCATCTGCATTACAGTCCCTTTGATTTAGAGTGGACATTTTCATATTCTTTTTAGTATGTAAGAGGATATATAACATCTTTTCCATTTTTCGAATAAGGAAATCACACAAGAGAAAGAACTTGGGCATTCGTCACCTGAACGTACTACCCAGGGCGGCCTGCCACATCACTTTCCAAGCACTGTCCTCTGCATAACAGCAAACTGCTAAAGCAACAGATATTTTTAAATGTTCTAAGACTGGCCAAAACAAAACAAAAAAACACCTCTTGTTCACTTATCTAAGTTTGCCAGTTCCAACAGCGGGTAAAATTTATACTTTAAAAAGTGTACCAAGTGCTTGTGTGGGAGGGGCTAGCAGCACAAAAATGAGTTGGACATAGTACCAGCCCTCAGATTATCACCTAATTCACAGACACCCCCTCCCACCCCAGGAAGGATCAGAAGTATCGGTTAAAAGTATTCTGTAACAGTTTATACACCAGCCAAAGGAGTAGATTCTGTGCTGTACTGTTGAAAATTTAAGCCAAAAGCTCTACATACAGGGATTCATTGGTTTTGCTGTAAAATCTGCGGTAAGAGTGCTGGCACCCATGGTACTGAAGCCCTCAGTAATACCTGCGTCTGCCCAGCAGAGCAGTTTGGAGAAGGGGTCAAAGGTTAAACCGTTCGGTAGTCCAATGTCTTTATTCACCAGAATTCTTCTGTTTTCTCCTTCTAAAGAAGACGTTTCAATTTTAGGGGCTTCTCGATTCCAGTCTGTCCAGTACAAGTTGCTGTGGGATAAATTAAGATTTTTTGCTACAGTGAAAATGAGGCCAGAGAAATAAAATGCCTGTGTCTGGGTTTTGGTTACTCTCACCATTTAATGAACTTAAACCTTTGGCTTCAGCACTAAGATTTCCCGAGTCTGTTGCTGAAAGAAACTCACCCCATCCAGTTTAAGTGTTAGACAGCCTTCCCTGATCATGTGATCTGTGGTGGCCCCCAGCGCTTCTCACATACTCTGAATCGTCTGTATATCACGCCATCTTAATAATTTTCTTTTTTTAATGTTTTATATATTTTTGAGAGGGAGACACAGAATCGGAAACAGGCTCCAGGCTCTGAACTAGCTGTCAGCACAGAACTCGACACGGGGCTCGAACCCATGAACTGGGAGATCGTGACCTGAGCTGAAGGTGGACACTCAACCAACTGAGCCACCCAGGCACCCCTGTCTTAACTTTCTAGCTTATTCATTAGTTCACTACCTTACTTCCTCCCAGAATGTGAGCTCCATGAAAGCGCAGACCTTGTCCTCTTTGCCTAAAACAGTGTCTGATGCCTACTAGGTCCTATAGAAATACTGTTGGAAGTCCATGCTTTGGAGCTTTCGCACTCCTGTTCTGACCCTCCCCACACTGCATTTAAAATCCAAAGGCTCCAAATTAGGATCTACAGACAGGAGAATAGGAAAGCCCAGCTGACCCTCGGATTGGATCCACAGCAATGGCTCGAGGATTCACCAGGTCCGTGTGGAAGAGGGCTTTCCGCTCAGAGCCGTCCAGCCTGGCCCTCTCGATCTTGTCCAGGCCGCTGTCTGTCCAGTACATCGTTCTACGGAAGTGGTCAATGGCAAGTCCTTCAGGGCTTATCAGTCCTGGAAACAGAGTAGCAGGACTGGAACATTTGCAGGTATGAAAAGGGAACCTGAAGCAGACAGATCTACTATGTTTGACCAGTTAAAAAAAAAATACCAAGAGGTTCTCACTTGCAACAATCAGGTTAACTGAGGAACAGACCCTTTGTTACTTGTCCTGCTGCCATTAGTTTTCCTTCTAGACTGACAGACCCACCAGCCTGATGGCACTGGGCCTGACAGGGCAGGCAGCAGCAGCTGTAGCCACACCCTGAGGTCTCACTGTGAGCCTTTGCTGTTGGGAGTTCCTGTTTCTCAACAGGCTCACAGTAAGAATTACCTTCTCATTTCATATGTATGAATGTGTGTTTACAGAGGGGCTAGTGTTGAAGCACTCGATGAAGTGCCCTGAAGGGCGCTTCCCCTGTTGAACTTAGTAGAGTCCATGAAATACAGAGCATCTTCTGGATGAAGCTGCTGACCTGAGTTGATGATCGTCTCGGGCTCTGCTCCTGGCACCAAACTGGCACGGCTGATTGCCCGTCCAGCAACATCTGTCCAGTACACCATCCTCTCGCGGCAGTCGTAGTCAATTCCCACGACTATGGAACCCTTTGTGGACCAAAACGTGACATTGGAAGAGTTAGGACTCCTTACATTTCCCCAGAGCTCGTGCTCAGCTGCTGCTCGCGTGGCTGCAGCAAACCACTCACTGTAGCTCCGGGGGCGTTATGCAGCACGATTACACAAGTTGCTTAGAGGCAGACTTCTGGGGTCCCAGCCAGGCTTGGCCACTGGCTGTGTGACTTTGGTACTTAACCTAGGCCTGAGTTTCATTTGCAAAAGGAAGATAATAGTCCCTACTTTATAGTGCTGCTATAAAACTTGATACCATAAGTTCTTGTGAAGTGTCCTCATCAGTCATTAGTATTCAGCAAGTGCTCAATAAGCACTATTACTGTCAGCACTAGTAAGATGATTTCGTGAAAAAAAATCAGCCCCTTTAGTGATAAGAGAACAAACACTAGTCTCAGCAAAGTCAGTCCTTAATATTTTACTTAGTATTTTACAAAAGCTGTTACTCCTTCCAAATGGTATTGGCACTTTTGAAAATTAAGCACTATAGAACAACAAAATCCACTACTCTCCCTTTTCCTGTAAATATGAGATCTTTCCCCTGAGGTTTAATCCCTTACCCCATCTCTGCTGCTTATACAAAGCAAATGTTCTGGTTATACTCATATGAAGAAGAAAGTCTCCAGTTGGATGGCATAAGGAACTGGAGACTGCTGGTCACCAAACCTCTGGTTGGGGAGGTCTTCCCTTCCCTGTTGCTAAATAAATAACACAGTCTTTTTTAAATGCAGAGTCTGTGGTATTTCTTTGCAAAACCCTGCACAGTACTTGCTTCATTCGGTTCCCAGCCCAGACTCCTGGTCTGAGAAGACCGACAGGTGTGCAGAGCCAACATCTAGGGGCCATCTGGGTGGGCTGTCCCTGAGGTCACACCAGCTCCCTGCTTGCCTAACAAAGCCTCCTGGCGCTGGTGTGGCGTGCCTCTCGGGGAGGAGTCAATATAAAAAATACCGTACAAAGCAGGATTTGGCTCCTGTGAGAAAATGGGACAGTTTATCTGGAAGGATCCGAAGGTCAAATAGAGTTTTACTTGAAAAGTGAGTCATCTGTCTCAGGGAGGAGTGACATCCATGTGCTTCCACTGACCTCGGGACTCCTGGGATCCATTAACCCATGTATTGACCTTAGGGTTTCTTGGAAGAATGAGTCTCAGTTTAAATTTCCCCAAGATGTGCTTATCAACCATGTTCCATTCTCTCAGTTCTGCCACCACCACCACCTTGCCCATCTGAGAGGCAAGCTCAGAAATGCAGTAAAGCCATCAGCGTTTACATGCTAGTGTTTGCCAACACACACACAAAACTCCAAAACCTAAATCTTAAAAAACAAACATCTTGCTCAGAATATTAGCTGCTTCTAAATTTTTTCGGAATCCAATAAGGAGTTAGTTTGATAACAGAAGTAAAGGGAAACACGGACGTTATACTGTTTTACTAGATGAGCAAGTACCTGCTGCATGAAGTTTAGAAATGGAATCGGATGGCTTTCCTTAATAACCATCAGTGCCTTTCTGGTGAACTCCCTTCTCTTTTCTCCATTTTAGAGAAGTAATCTGTCCTCCAAAATGGAGTGAGCCTCCTGGCTCGGGAAGTAACAAGCATCTCCTGTGGAAAGCTTGTCCACTCCTTTCCCAGCGTCCCACTCCACCCAGATCTTCATCTCTGAAGGCGTTAGAGAAGATAGGAGACTGGTCAAGAGAACCAAAACGGGAGGAGAGGGGGCTGCAGCAATGAGGTGGTCCTTAACTTCTTTCTGCCTGGGATCCTCAACTGACTAGAGAAACCACACCCTTTAGCCAGTCCTCCTGGACCCTCTGTGGAGATGTCTGGCATGGAGGGAACCCTGGGGACTTGGGTTAAGGTTCTGTCCGTTTCCCCTTGGTTCACCATACCACCTTGATATCTTGACAACGCTGAACTTCCCTTTCCACCCATCTGAAACCCCTTGAACCACTGGAGAAAGCCTTGGTCAGTCAGAGGGGACTCCTGGCAAACAGTGCCCCACTTTTTGGACAGCAGTGTCAGACTCAAGGAGTGGGACTGCAGCCCAGAAGCCCTCCAGGACCTCCCTCTACCGGAGGCCCTGGTCCAGATCTGAAAGCCCTGTACAGTCCCATCCCCACAGGAGAAATCCACGTACATGCAGTGACAGCAGGGTCTTGGCCATGTCCTTCTGGAGCCTGGTACCATTGAGGGGCAAGTGACCGATCTGCTGGCCCTGGGCGTAGAGCAGGAAAGTGCCCACAGGCGGAGGGGTCACATCAGGCCGGGGCAGGGGCTGGACCGTGGGTGGTGCAACCGTGGGCAGACCTGCCGTGGGAAGGAGTGGGAGGGTATGAAGAACGGAGAGGAGAGGAAACAAAAGGTGGGTGGGGAGAAGGCAAGAAGTTCCTTTCCACATACCAGAACCTCCGAAGACATCAGAAGGTTTTTAGCCTAGACAGATGTGTTCCAGATGTTCCTTAAAAGAAATTCTAACTTCTAGGGTTCCCTCCCCCCCCCAGGATTATGTAAAACACTGCCAATTACTAGGGAGGAAGACAACAAAACATTTCCCTCAGAACAAAGCAAAAAACTTTTTTTTCTTTTTAAGGGGGAAAAAACAGCCAGTATTGTGTCCGCTTTTCTTTGGGCCCCCAGGGTGACATGTGTCCCCTCTCACCCTGGACTGGGGAGGAGGAACTGCTTGTTGAACTAAGTTCCAGATGTTCTTATTACAGAAACTGCTAATGACAAAACCAAACATTAAATCCAAATTGGGATCTTGGATTAGAGACCAGATTATAAATCAACACAGCATCTTAACGACTTCACTGGACCTGTGGACCCCCCCCTTTCCCCAGCTTCACCTACAGTTTCTGTATGGAAAGCCCTCAGCAGATGAGCGGGATGAGGGCTGACCCCAGGTGCTTACATGCAGGGGTGATGCCGGGCTGGGAGCGGGTGCCCTGCACTTCTCTGCCATCTTTGTCCACGCACCAGCAGAAGTCACTCTTCCCGTGGCACTGCAGGGGGTTGAAGTGGCCCAAGTCATCGCACTGAGGCACATACTGGTCGTCCCGGGGCGTGCCACCGTAGTGCTCCAGCAGGTTTTCCCTCCAGCGCTCACAGACAGTCGGGGGCCTCCGGGTGGGCTCTGAGCAGATGGGGACAAAAAGCCTTTGATGGTGAGCCAAGGACAGAATGCAGCATGTAGCTGAAGCTCCCCACACCTGGCCTCCCCCCTCCTAGTGTCTGCTAACAAGGCCTCAGCCAAGCCTCCCGACACTGGACCAATAAAGTGCTCTAAGCAGCTCTCCACAGGCATCCGGAAAAAGGAGAAAATCTGGGCCAGGAGGATTTGTCAAGGCCAGCCATGTCAGCAGAGAGCAAGAGGAGGTAAGATGAGGGGTGCAGGGCACACTCCGGCCAGGCCCACGGGGACACTTCCGCCGGGGCCCAGGGCCTCTGCTAACAGAGCACTTCGTGGGGACCCTCCTCGGGGACTCAGTGGCCTATATGATACTTAGAGGCAATATTTCTTCTTTCCCACTTGGTTCAAGTGCCAGGCCTGCACCTCAGAGGGCAATCTTGAGACTGGCCATGTGTCTTAGACACTATTCCCGAGTGCCCTACTTACGTGGCCCTCAGCGTCTGCTCATTGGAAAACTCTATGGAGTAAGACTCACTGTAATGAGTATGTGTGAGCAAAGCGGATGTGGTGGCCAACAACTCCATACTGAGCGTGAGACGCTCCAGTTTCTGGAAGCCCTTTGGCTCAAAGCTGAAGCTTTCTCCTAGGCTCCAGCTTCCTGCCCATAGCTCTGCGCCTCCCCTCTCCAGCACCCTCCCCTCTCTGCTCGCCCTCCCGGCTCACCACCGGCTCACCACCGGGCTTGGGCTCCGGGGAGCTCTTGCAGAGTAGTTTCTCTCGCTGCAGTTTTCTCCCAGCTTCCTTCCGCTGGGCTGTCACTCTGTCCCAAACATGCAGTTCTCTGTCTGCAGGGAGTCTGCTGCAGGCTTTTGAAAAAACCTGTACACCCCATCTATCATAGGAGCTTCTAAAGGGACTCAGAAGCTGCTTTTTTATTTCCTAGAACTCAAAGCCTGTGGATCATACAGCCAAGTACCTACTTGATACCACCAACATTAATCTCAGAACAAAAATGGGTCCCCCGTTTCCACCATCAAAGCCGCTCTGCCCTAGACTTTTTCATATCAGTAAACAGCACCTCCATTTTCCATTGTGGAGGCCCGGTCATCCTTGGCTCCTTTCTCTCTCTTGCACTCCACATCTGGTAGGTCAGAAAATGTCAGTGGTACCTTCAAAATGCATTCAGAAAATCCTCACTTCTCACTACATCCACCCCTATCACCCTGGTCTGAGCCCCACGGTCTCCCGCTAGGAAATTACAAAAACTTTCTTACTTGTTCCCTGGCTTCCACCCTCTTTCCTGCCCCTCAGTATAAACAACCAGCAGCCAGGAAGAGTCCCTTTAAAACAGTCATTTCTGGGGCGCCGGGATGGCTCAGTCAGTTGCGCGCTGACTTCAGCTCAGGTCATGATCTCGCGGCTTGTGAGCTCGAGCCTTGCATTGGGCTCTGTGCAGACAGCTCAGAGCCTGAAGTCTGCTTCAGATTCTGTGTCTCTCTCTCTCTGCCCCTCCCTCACTCGTGTTTCTCTCTTCTTTCTCCCTCTCTCCCAATAATAAACATTTAAAAAAAAATAAAAAATACTTAAAACACAGTCATTTCACGTCACTCCTTTGGTCAAAACTTCTACTGGCCTTGAACAAAGTTAGAAACATTACAATTTGGTTCTAGTACCTACAGTTCCTCTAGAAAAGAGGTAGGATGGTTAGTAAAATCCTCCAAACGCAAACCCAACTAGCTCAACTTTAAGACTCACCAGGTTTGGGGGAAATGGATGCCCTTCAGGTGGCCATGATAGCTTATGACCCTTGGGAAGCAAAGTTCTTTTTAAGACCCGATGGAGAAGGAGACTTCCTCACCCAGAAAGGTCTCAAAGAACCTGGATAGGGAAATGTCACTTCTTCAAACACTACCAATTCACCTTAAGGGGGGATTCCCTGGAGAAATTCCCAACATAGCTCCAGATCCACACTGCAAACTCAGGGGGGACTTTCTTGGTTCAGGGGACTACCCAATGAGGCATGGCTCTCTGTTTGGAATGCAGACACACGGCACGCTCAGCTTCTGGGAAATGGGCACCTCACATCACTGATAATGTGTGCATCCCTCTCATTCCTTACTATTTGAAGCTACTCCTTAATCCAACCACAGATTGATTTCTTTTTTTTTTTTTTTTTTTTTTTGGTTGGCAGGGTTTTAAATAGTTTGAAATCTTGGACACAGAGTATTTTCTCTCCCTTCAAGCCAGCCCCATTATGCAGATGAGACTAGTCAGAAATGGCAGCCAAGGCCAAACCAGTGCCAAGAGAGAAGCCTGGGCCATGGGGAAAGAGTCTGCACAAGACAATGTGTCTCTCCCTTTAGTCATTAAACTTCTCATTCTCTTGGCTCCCTTCTGAATCATGGTCCTTACCACATGCTTGTCTTAGTAAATAGAACTCTGAACCATTCCCTAAGGCATGTCCCAACCATCTGATTTCTTTAAATCCCAGATGGAGTTAGAACCAAGACTTTAAAGATTTTAAAGGAGTGAAACAGGATTTTTCTTTTCTCCCCCCCACCCCCCGCCCCCCTTGGACCTGTAAAATCTTTTCCTAAAAATAGGGATGGGAGGAACTAGAAATGTCATTGTGGAAACAAAGGTATGCATCTAGATCAAGCATTACCAATTTTTACCTGTACGAATCTAAGAACTACTAATGCCCTGGCCATAACAGTATTGAAAGGATCAAAACTAGTGGTAATTCTCCAGCTCAAATAGCAGGCTCGTGGCTATAGGAATTAATTTTTGGCTAAAATGCTATCCAATCAATCCTACATTCTTCATAATGTAGTTTTTCTGTGTTTTTAAAAAATTGCTTCCCACTCTTTAATTCCGCAAGGAATACAATCTGCCTTGGCAACCCACAGTGGGCAGGACACATGAGCACTTGATTGCCAGGCCCCACATCCTGCGGAGCACGGGGAGCGCTCAGATGCTAACAGACACACTCACCATCAGCGGCTCAGACCGCACAGGCTAACACAACAGATCCCTGCATCTCTTCTGACTGTGGCTGGGGCAAGGGGGCCTCCCTGCTGACAGGCTGGGCCTGCTTGGAGACTGGGGTCACTGCTTAGAGCAAATTAGCTGGCTCCACCCATAGGTGTCTGCTTATTTTTCCTGTTAATACTAAAATGGCCTTCATACAGCTTCCTGCAATTCAGAAGGCACAGTGAAGTGATATAAAGGAATATGCGCAGGCAGTCTTCTTTGGACAGAAGGCTGGTCTGGCAAGACCTCTAGCTCCAAGATCTCTCTAAGCTGCTATAACAGGTCTAGGGCCTCAGCCTGACCTACACCGTTCATCTCAGCTTCCCGTCCTGTACCGGGCAAGCCTAAGGCTGGAGTCCAATGTGTAACAGTGACATACGCCAGTCTGTATGTCCCGGTCACATGAACGTGTGCACAGCTGCACACAGATCATTCGAGTGGTCCTAGGAGGAAGGAGGCTATAAAAGGCCCCGAGTCTGCACAGTCTGCCCCACACACCCCACAATCTGCACCATTCAGCTTCTCAAGTCCCGCACCTACACCGGTAGAAGCTTTCCCGACCGGCTCACCTGCTGGTCCGCAGTGAGGCGGCATGGAGCCGGGGGGAGTCCGGGTGCCGGGGACTTCAAGACCATCAGGGTCCACGCACCAGCAGAAGCCAGTGCTCCCGTGACACTGCAGTGGCAGGAAGTGGCCCTGCTCATCGCACTGGGGGATGTGCAGCTGGGAGCCAGGATAGGCATGCTGAGCATGGGCACTGCGCTGCTGGCGTTCACAGGGTTTCAGTCCTGATGCGGGGTCTTCTGGGACTAGGGTGGAGGAGACGTACAAAGAAGGAATAAAAGACATTGCAACCATCTACTTTCACCCGCTAACTTCAAAGTCTCTCATCTGAGGTATTGTTTCTTTCCCCCTCCTTGTACTTGGAAGACAGCATAACATGGGGAAAAGAGCCAGGCACTGAGATTCTCAACTGGATTCATATTTTAGTTCTGCCACTATCTACCTCATTTCTCCCTAATTCTCACAGTTCACCCTATTAAGTCCTGAGCTGACTATACTGTAAAATCACCCCTCCCTTAGCACTCAGGGTAAAATGGCTTCTATCCAAACATCCCAAGAGACTTGGGAAAAAACAAATAAAACTCTGTTCATCCTCTGAAGTCCAGAGTCTAAGTCTGAGATGCTCCAGGTCAATGGCAATCACTAGGTCGCACAGTACTGGCCAAGACCTCCTAGAAGAGTCACCCTGGGGCTTACTACCAGCTCACTAGTGCATATGCCTCCTATTTAGTAGGCTTTATCTCAGTACTTCATCTAAATGACACTTATCAAGGCAAAGCAGACCATGAAGGGAGTTGAACACAGCTGCCACTAGGTAGGACAATGGGTGGGGTCACACTCCTGGCCTCCCAGAATACTAATTATCAGTGACTTCTAAGTAAACTAGGTAGCTGGAGGGAACAGGAAAAAATCCAGAGCCTAGAAAAAAAGCCTTGGTCCCCAATAAGACTAGGCTGAGGCTGTAGGAAAATAGCACACTGAAGGACCCAGGAGTTTTCAGTGTCTCAGCCGGCCCTCCAGACCTTACCAGGTGTGCACTGAAATCCATCCCCATGATATCCAGGGAGGCACCGGCAGGAGAAGGAGCCAGGGATATTGTAGCAGGTAGCCGAGGGATGACATCTGTTTTCCGAGCATTCATCAACATCTGCAGAGGAAGGAACAGCATGACTTCACTGCGCACAACTGGGGCTACTAAATGGCCCCAGTGCCCATGAGTCCATGTCAAAGGGTCAACCTTAGAAGACCTCTGGGCATGGACAGAAATCTGCTGACAGTGAAAGGCAGGCTAAACGTACAAAGTCGAGGGACACGTGAGCTAACCCATTAGACTAAGAATGTGCAGAGTAGAAATCAAATGTGTGGTCACTTCCAGAAAAGAAAAATATCCTGCAGTATATTTCTAGAGTATCTTTCATCCACAGTGAATTCCAGGAAGTTATTACCTTTGAACTAGCCTTTGGGCTGTAAATCACTCACTTCCTTCAGTACCACAGCAGTAAATACGTGTAACAATGGTTTCGTTCTTGCCCTGCTGGCACTATGTCCCTGTAACACGAATATACAGATGCGGAGAAGCCCTGTGAGGCTCCAGATGCTTTTTCAACTAAGCACATTCAGTCTCCTGGAATCAGAGTCCTACTATCTACAGAATGCCCAAGGAATCAGAAATTTTCTCTACTTTCTACCTTTAGAAAAGCGTCAGAAAAATATTATCAGAGGTTTTGAAACAACACATTAAAAACAACATCTAAATTTGTCAGGTTCATCAGTACACACAGTTCAGGCCCTCCCACTCTCCACATGGTACCCCCTAAGGATTGATTTTCCTCTTTCTCAAAACTGCAACATCCTAGGGAGGGTGGGGCGCCTGGGTGGCTCCGTCGGTGAAGCGTCCAACTCTGGACTTCAGCTCAGGTCATGATCTTGTGGTTCGTGATTTCGAGCCCCACATCGGGCTCTGTGCTGTTGGTGCAGAGCTTGCTTGGGATTCTCTCTCTCTGTGTCTCTCTTCTCCCCTGCTCTCTCTCTCAAAATAAACTTAAAAAAAATTTTTTTTTAACTTACAACATTCTAGAACTTCATGCTGGCCTCCCATGCCTGGGATGAAATCTCTTCTAGAAGTATCACTACCAGCCTTGCTACGACCACGCTCTCACTGAGCCATCCTCCCAGGGACCAATGAGCGCACATGCCAGATGTTCTGTTCATGGGAGAAGACTCTCTTACATCTTAATTAGCAAATTCACATTCTGCTTATCCTCAGTCTTAGGGAAGTTTAGTCAACATACATTAGCTCCCTTAAATCCAAAAGAACCCTGAATGCTTGACAGAGCCAAGTTTAATGCCACCCAGAGGGGCTCTGCCCAGATAAGCAACTGGCCTCCCTGGTTACCTTCTTTCCACCTACCAAGGCAGGAGGGGACTTACAAATTCATCTGCAAGGTTAGAAACAAACAAGGTTTTCTGGTGAGGTCCTCAGTCAACCAGAAAGAAACCAAACAAAACCAATCACAACAAAAACTCTATCTCCAATCTGATCAAGACGCTTCTATATTGTCATACTTAATTATCCTTGAGTTTGGCCCTCAGTTTCTTCAAAGGGACAACTCCAATACCTAGCTGGGCTAAGCCAGTGACTATCCAGTTCTTTGGGCCTGCGAGAGACTATAAAACTGGCTGTAAAAGCAAAGTTGTAAAACTGAACATCCAGCAGGAAATTAAATGCAGGAAATTAAAGCTATTCATAATACATATGCTAAAAGGACTTCTCATGCTAACAGGAACCCCAGGCAATGACAGGAAGCAGGAATTCCTGAGACACAGGGCCTATTTCTAGAACCCATGGATCAGTTTCTTGAGATTATTTTTGAACTAAGAGAGAGGGGACTCCCCAGAACTACCAAGTTCCTTATGTTCTTAAAGCCCATGGCCTAGGAACTGTGATCAGAGTGAAAGACCAGTTGTCTTCCCACAGTTAGTAGAGTCATGGGGAGGGACAATAATGGTTATGAATGACCAGCAGGGAGAAAGCCCTTAAAGGGATGGAAAGCACCACAAGTGAGGAGCCTCTGTCCCCTAGAAGCTGGAGGAGGTAAAGCTCCCCGATGCCTCCTTGGAAGGCCTCACACCAGGGCAGAAAAGAAGTCTAGTCAGCCGCTCCAGGGCGTGGGCTCAGAGTGGGCTATGGCTCCTCCTCAGCAGTGCAAAACTCTGAGGGGTGTGGAGGGGACTGGGGGATTCTGTCTAAAGAAGGGGAGCTCGCCCCTATATGACAGGATGTCAAGTGTCAGGACAGAAAGCCTGGAACACTTTCAGCCCCTAGGCAAGGGAGAAACTCCCTATTGCTACACTCAGCCTGGAGGCTGCCATTTATGCCTAACAATCCCTGTCAGGGTTCTTTAGGGCCTATCAGAACACTGAGGTCAAGGCAACAATGTTCGAGGCACAGTAGAACTCCTTCGCTATTCAGAAAATGAAACATGGCTCAATCTCAGCACAACCCTCCATTCTATTCTGTTAAGCTGGTACAAAACCCGTATGGAACATTCATTTAAATCCTCCATTTTGAATTCATGCTTTGGTGTTTCAGTGCTCTCGCTGCCCTGATTCTAAGCCCATACCCAAACCACGCGAGATCCCTTCAAAACAAACCCAACCACTGGATTACCAGACTCTAGCTCCCCTTAACTGATTCCACCCCACTCCCTTTGCTTTCGAGCCATCCAGTGAAATTTCTGGACCCCAATAAAGGCTTCAGCCAACAAGTTCTAGCTCCTCACCTATTTGGTCTAGTACCTTGCTGGTTGGGTCTCTGTGTGTTACATGGTGATGCTCTCTCTGCCCATGAGCGTAATAAACTCCCTCCTTGCAAGCCTTGTTTTATTCTCCTGTGCCTGCACCAACTTTACAATACTTTACCCAACATCTCTGTTCTTGGAACAGAAAACCAGGGAGAGAATAACCTACATGGCTCTCCTCATGTCCCTGCTGAGCAGTGATGGCTCTGAGCGATGTCCCACCCATTCAACTCAATTGCTCCGCCCCGGAAAGGTCCCAACTCAAGATACTCTGCTTCTGCGCCTGTCAAAGTCACCAAGATCTATGAGGACAAACATGCCTGAGAAATACCGGCTTCCAACAATACAAGGTGGAACTCAACCCCGAAACCATTGAAATAGGGGTTGATTGAGGGAAGCTGGAAAAGACTGAACTCCACTTGGATAAAAGTAATTACTGCTAGTGACTCAGACTAGACTGAGAACCCAAAGCCAAGTCCAGCCTCCCCAGGGTACTTGGTTTTTAACAAAGTGGCTAGAGAAAAACCCACACACCCTTTTATTGCTTAACGGAGTAAAGAATACCATGTATGCTTCAAGAATGCACACTGTCCACAAAATAGCACCTCTATCTCTATTTTTCTCTATGGCCATGGGGACACATGCACATTGTAGCATGTCTTTAAATATGTGCATGCATGTGTACACACACACACACACACACACACACACACGTACTTATCCTGCAAATCACCTTCATGACTAGCCCAGCCTGTTTTGGGCATGGCATAGGTCTTTGGGAATAGGACTATTCATTCTCATCTACTCCATAGTCTGAAAAGTTTGGAAGGCAACCACATGGTAATGGATCCTGGGAGATAGCCTCGAAGGAGCCCCAAAGATCCCTACCTCCTAGCATTCACAATCTTGTATAATTCCCTTCCCTTGAGTAACTTGCATCTAATCAATACACTAAAGCAATACTGAGGTGATGTCATTTTTGTGATTATAACTTCCAATTTGCTTAAAGACTTTCTGCCACTGGCTTTGGTGAAGTAAGCTACCTTGTTGGAGGTCTACACATCAAGAAGCTGAAGGTCCTTGGTTCTTCAGCCAACAGCTACCTAACAAGGACCTGAGGCTCTCAGTCCTCAAGGAATTGAATCTCACCAATAACCATGTGAGGATGTTTCTCCAGTTAGGCCTTTAGAAGAGACCTCAAGTCTACCAGACCCCTTCTTGGAGCCTTGTGAGAATCTTTTAAAGCAGAGGACCAAGCTAAGCCATACCCAGGCCCTTGACCTATATATAATAAATTTATATTGCTTTAAGCTGCTATATCTTGGGGTAATTTGTTATGCAGCAATAGGTAACTAGTACACTCAGGAAGCAACTGATGGGTCTTAGATTTGTGGGTTCCAAAGAAAATCCCAAGCATAGAGAAGCAGAGATTGTATAGGGGCCATTTAAAATGGCAGAAATCAGCAAGAGGGCAGTAATAACAATGAATGGCATTACTCGCAAGTTCCCAACATGGAAAAGTAACCAATCCTAACATGATCCCAAAGATAATCAAAGTCTTACAGGACAAATACAAGTTAAAAGAAGGAAGAGAGAATGATTCTGGAAGGGAAAAGGGCAAGAAGTATCTAACTTAATTAACATTCTGATTAACACTCATCACACCTAGGCTGTAATTAATTTCAACTTGTTAGCTTTAACCCAAGGACCTAAGAAGTTAAATACTTTAAAGGCACAACCTCTGCTGACCTGAGCAGCCTGATGTTTGAATATGAAATTCTACTGACAAGATTTCGCTTCTCTAGGCAGTCTCAGCTCTTAAATGTGGTAAATAGGACTGATTGGTAAGGTTCCACAAAGGTGGGAAAGTCACTATTCCCGCACAAAGAACGGAACCATGAGGAGTTGGTGCACCTCACATCCTGACCCCCATTCCTGCGGAGGCTACCCTCTGTGTGTCAAGAGTGTATCTATTACAGATGGCGCTCGTGGGATGGCCAAGTGGGAGAAGCAGCTGTGGATTCCCAATCTACCTCATTCTAACTGGGAAAGAGTTGAGCTCTGTCTAAAGCTGGGGGTATTTTTAGTTGGAAAAAACAAAACAAAACAAAACAGGGCTGGACTGAGCCACAGATTTGGCCATTTCAGTATAAACTGTGTTTTTATGAAAAGCATACAGCAGAACTTCTGTACAACACAAGTGGGAACATTAAAGAGCCAGTTCAGACAATACCACCAAATGGCCCAGCACAGCGAGGAAGGAGAGGAAGGAGATGACTGCACTGCCCTGACGCTTGTGTTCTGTCTAGAACATAGGGCATCAGTGTGCTCGTCCAGTCGCCTCTCCGCCGAGAGGGAAGGGAAGAGGAATCGGGAGCAAGATGAGAAGCAAACATCTGATAAGGGGTGGGGGTGGGGGGCGGCATGCTCTTTAATCTGCTGTGAAGCTTCCAGGAGTTACACGGCTGTTCTAGCAAATCAACAGTGGCCCAGCCAATGCAAGCAGCAATCTGAAGAGAAGGGGAAAGCCTGTGTTCTGGGTTTACAATTCCCAAACAGACCCTTTTCCCACCATTCTCTCATTCCTAGTGTCTCATTTTACTATAACTCTGTGTGCATTACTGACAGACGGCATGAAATGGAGTTTCAATTCCATCATGTCACTGGATATATTTTGAAAACCTTTTGTGGATTATGTAGATTTGTTAAATAATCTCTATATTAAAGTACTACTAATCCCCGTTTCATGAACATTGCTACCCAGAGAATTATGCCTTGTTCCGTAACAACCTCAAACATTATTATTATTTAACCAAGTTAAATTTTCACAGTTAGTCCTGCATTCCAGTTTAGTGATTTTATAGAATACCATACCAAGTCTTAACCACCTTAGACTTGGTTAGATTTCTGGGAGAAAAGTTTTGGGTACTTAGATCTGCATTACTGTCCTCTTATAATAGTAGAGTTCTTTTTCTCTCTCCCCACCCCCTCTCCTTCTCTCCAGAGAGAGGACAGAGGGAAAAAATGAGAAAGAATTGCATGTATGTTTAGAGATTACTTAAAATACCACTTTAACCAGTGGAATAGCAACTCAAAGTCAGGTACAACTGGGAAGTGCTAGACTAAGCCGTTAGCCAGACATGGAAGGATGGAGACTTCCCAACAGGTGAATAGGCTTTCCCGAAGTTCCTCCAGCCTGTGCCAGCTCTAGGGAACAGAAGGTTGGCTACAAGCAGGCAGTGGCTTCCTAGTGCTCCAGAAACATCCTCACCATATGCTCGACAATCTAGTCCAAGGGAAAATACCCTTCGCTCTGCTTTTTGACTCAAAGGACAGCTTTTTTCTTGCTCTTTGGACAATTCCAAGGCTGTGTGAGTCAAGGAAGGGAGAAGTCCTTTTGAGAAAGGTTCTGGGTATGTGGGGATGTTGCATACAAGGCAACTTTCCAGAGTCACGGAGGCTGACGACCGCAGGTACTCACCAGTACACTGGTGCCCGTTGCCAGTGTAACCAGGCAGGCAGGTGCAGCTGAACGTGTCGCCTCCGTGGTAAATGCACCTGGCCTGGTGAGCAGGAGCACAGGAATGACTGCCATCCTCACAGGGGTTGGAAGGGGGGGCGATCACTGAGAAGAGAAGGAGGCAAGGATGCCCAAGAGTTCAGGACTGCGAGTGGGTAAGATTGCTCCTCGCAGTGTGAGCCACACACCAATAGCATCAGGACATCTAGGGGCTGAGACGGCATATAGGTTCTCAGGCTCTATCCCAGAGCCAGTAAGCCAGAATCTGACTTTTAACAAGATTCCTCGATGGCTTGTATGCATATTAAAGTTTAAGAAGTGCTGGCCTGAGTTTGTGGTGAAAACTCTAGACATAAAGATCAGTCATTAAAATACTCCTTGATAAAGTTTATAACTCACCAGAAGAACTGTGCGTACATGTGTACACACACACACACACACACACACACACACACAGTTTCTATGATCACTGCTACTTTTTCATCCCATTGGGTTAAAAAGTGTATTTTCTAAAAAAAAAGTGCATTTTCTCTATCATCATCTGGCTCTACCAACGGGATGAATTTGGAATCCTAGTTCTTTTGGATTCACTTTTAGGTTCAAAGTTTTCTTTTTTCTTTTTTTAACCCTTGAAAGAGTACATTTATTACAGATAGAGTTGTATAATCTGTCCAGTGGGGTGAGCATCTTTGAATTATAAATCCATTTCATTTAAATTTGAGCAATATTTTACTTTTGTCTAGAAGTGGTAGTACTAGAGGTTCATCCTCTTGTTACATGATTGGGCCAAATACCAAGACAAACGGAATCCCAACTGGGTGAACACCCTCCAATAACTCAACACCAAAAGTATATACTTGGAGGAAAGCAACATCCAAATAAAGGGTTGAACTGAGCCATAGGGTTATTTCAAATGGTTTTTGGAAACCATACAGCAGAGCTTCTGTACATCAGAGTGGAAACATTAATGAATCAAAAAGCAAGGTTCAGCACCATTTTGGCCAAAACGAGAAATGGCTTAACACTCACAGATGCACGTGTGCCGGTCATCTGCAAACTCATAACCACTCCGACAGTCACAACTATAGCTGCCCGGCAGGTTGGTGCACACAGAGTTGGGGCCACAGTGATGGAAGCCAGTTGCACATTCATTTATATCTAAGAAGAAATAAGGATAGAAAGGCGCTGCTTAAGTCAAGGGTTCTACAGGTAGAAGGTCTGAAAACACGATGTTTTCTCACTACTATGAAGCTTCCACAGGACAAATGGGTGGTGGACTAAACAGAAGAGCAAAGGTAAGACTTCTAAGCATCGATGTGAATGCACGTTGCAGCTTATAATATTTATCTCCAGCAAGTATAAGTCACAGGGAGAAATATCTGAATATTCCAAGAATTCTTTAAGTATTTAGAACAAACCCCTCAACATTTAAAAGAAAAACACACTAATGATTCTTCTTTTAGAAATGTAAAGAAAGAAATTTCTGTGGCTTGTGGGGATGTAACAGGGGAAAGAAACACAATGTCTGAAACCTGAAGACAACCTGAAAACACGTTTTAGTAAATATAAGAAAATATGTAATACAGGATTAAAACGACAAGACTTAAGAATTCAAAATATGTAGGAATTACAATAGATGTCTTCTTTTCCCAGTCCCACCCACCCACATCAAACCTATCTGCTCAAACCTGACAAGAATATGCTTTAGTTTTTAAATAACAGCATTTAGGTTAACAGCTGCTAGACTTGTCTTGTTGATCAGTGGAGATGTCAAAGCAGACACACTTGTCTTCTATAAACACAGAGCTGGCGGACCGGACCCCATGAAGGAACATAGCACATACAACTTACCCACACAACTCCGTCCATCTCCCTGGTACCCAGAGGGACACTTGCAGGTGTAGTCTACACCCGTCCCTGGATCGCACCGAGCTTTCGTGTCACACGTGTGGCTCCCATCATAGCAAGGATTCACTGGGGTGGGGGCTGAGTCCCCTGCATGAGCAGAGAGGGAATAAACCACATTGGCACCATCTGGTTGTTGTAAAGAGAATGGCACAGAAAGGAGATCAAAGACTCCGTGGGACACAAAAATAAATTCAAAATCGATTAAAGACCTAAATGTGAGCTGTGAGACAGGAAACCATCAAAATCCTAGAAGAGAAAACAGGCAACAACCTCTTTGACCTTGGCCACAGCAACTTCTTACTTGACCTGTCTCTGAAGGCAAGGGAAATAAAAGCAAAAATGAACTATTGGGACCTCATCCAGATTAAGAAAACACACAGCAAAGGAAACAATCAACAAAACTAAAAGGCAACCAACAGAATGTGAGAAAATATTTGCAAATGACATACTGGATAAAGGGTTAGTATCAAAAATCTACAAAGAACTTACCAGACTCAACACCTGTAAAACAAACAATCCAGTGAAGAAATGGGCAGAAGACATGAATAGACACTTTTCCAAAGAAGACATCCAGATGGCTAACAGACACATGAAAAGGCTCAATATTGTTCACTGTCAGGGAAATACAAATCAAAACCACATTGAAATACCAAGTCATGCCAGTCAGAGTGGCTAAAATTAACAACTCAGGAAACAAGGATGTAGGTGAGGATGTCAAGAAAGGGGAACCCTCTTTCACTGTTGTTGGGAATGTAAACTGGTGGAGCTACTCTGGAAAACAGTATGGAGGTTCCTCAAAAAATTAAAAATAGAATTATCCTACGACCCAGCAATAGCACTGCTAGGAATTGATCCAAAGGAGAGAGGAGTACTGATTCGTAGGAGCACATGTACCCAATATTTATAGCAGCACTGTCAACAATAGCCAAATTATGGAAAGAGCCCCAATGTCTGTCAACTGATGAATGTATAAGGTAGATGTGGTATATATATGTAATAGAATACTACTCAGAGATGAAAAAGAATGAAATCTTGCCATTTGCAACAACGTGGATGGAACCGGAGGGTATTGTGCTAAGTGAAATAAATCAGTCAGAAAAAGAGATATCATGTTTTCACCCATATGTGGAATTTGAGAAACTTAACACAAAACCTTAGGGGAAGGGATGGAAAAATAAGTTACAAACAGAAAGGGAGGCAAACCATAAGAGACTCTTAAATACAGAGAACAAACTGAGGGTTGATGAGGGGGGGTAGTTAGAGATGTGGGGAAAATGGGTGATGGGCATTATGAAGGGCACTTATTGGGATGATCACTGGGTGTTGTATGCAAGTGATGAATCAAGGGAATCTACTCCCAAAGCCAAGGCTACACTGCATACACTGTATGTTAGCTAACTTGACAATAATTTAAAGACTCCATGAGACTGACTGTGTCCTTATCTGTTTGGGAGCCCACCAGGCAACCTTACTAAATTATTAATACCCAAAGCTGGGCTGGATTGTCCAAGTTGCAGTTTTAAATTCCAGAATGGCTTCCTCTTGCCTACTCTACAGACACCTAACCTTTTCTTACTTACATTAGACTTGTGCCCAGGGAATAAAAACATCCAAAACATGGCATACTTTTAAAGTGCTTTCACTCTATCAGCTCATGTGATTCTCAAGAGAGCTTTGAGGTTGGCTCTCATCCCCATTATTCTTGCAGATCCATGGGCGACACTGGAAAAATTGAAATGATATAGCAGGAGCTCATACCCCCAAATTTTGCCCCGAAAGTGGGCAATCTCTCACTAAAATTCACTATTTTAGAAGTCAAAATTTCATTAATGGGAAATCTTGCTTTTATAAGATTTAGAAGACTAAAGAGGAACGATTTTTGCAGTATTTCCTTTTCAGGATTAACCTTGCCAGAGATCCATCCATCCACTGGGTAGTGATAACTGTTAACACCCAAGATCTTTCCTAAAGGGTTTTATTTCTAGACAGAGTACAGTAGTAATGCTCAGTGAGCACTTATTTGCCAGGCACTGTTCTAAACCCTTTACATATAGCGTTAATATCTTCATCTTTACTATAGCATGGAAAAGCCAAGTACTGTGCCAAAGGTCACAGACACAAGGAGCATGGAGTGGGGATAAGAAGCCAGGTGGTCCATGCTTTCTACCACTTTGCTACAGACACCACTGGAGGAACTTTATAAAGTCATCTCATCTAAGCCAAGGACACAGAGATGGTGTTGGAGATAGCCCCAGACACAATGAATCCATTAACTCTGGGCACTTCCCTTTACCCCTCTGATTCTTCAGGTGTGAAATGGGAATAAAGACAACGCTTAGATCGGGTAAAACTGAAGAAAATAAAGAAAACCCGACATAATGTATGTGGAAGGCAATTCCGTCCCCAGTGGGCAGGCCCACCCAGTCCTTACTATGTTCCCTTTTCCTCCTCAGTGGCGCCACTGTTCATCCTCAACTTGCTTTCAGCTATGTCTCAGTCCCTAGAATTGATTTGAATCTTAGATCCAAATGATTTCAAGAGCTTTATCCAAACCTCCTGCTGTCCCTATCTAGTGGTAGCTATCGCTGCTACCATTAGAGCTTCATCTAAGTCATAACTGGAGCTTCTGCCTTGGACTTCTGCCGGTGCCCGGTCCCTGTCTTCACAGCGAGCTCAGTGTACCCCAAGTTCTGCCTGGATCTTGACAGCTACCACTGCTCCAGGAACCAGCTCTTGGCATCGGTAGACACGTTGGCAACACCACCTACTTGAACTTCCTAGCACCACCTCCTCTGAGATCCGCTCTTATTTCTCTCTAGCTCACCCATATCTCCCCACCCACTGTACCTCAGGTGGGTAGGCCTTGCCCAAAGTTAACTCCTAGTCTAGATGCAAGGTGACACTTGTGGCTGTCACTTGCCTCAGACTGGACTCCCTTGCAGTCCTTCAGGACATCCAGCTACTGTCCCAGGGCTTGCCCACTGTCCACGTGGACTCTTCTGTTTTTCTCTGCCAGTATGCCAGGAGCTGGGATGCCATCGCTGAGTCTCTGAAAGGACTCCCTGCTCTCTGGTAAATACCTCCTATCACTTTATAATAAACACATAAGTGTTTATAAAACACTTTATGGGAACAATATTCTTGTTCCCATATTATGGCTAAATAAAGGAGGGCCACGGGTTTATCCTTGGTTTGCCTCAGTGGTGCTGGGTGGTGTATGTTACAGACACCTTGCCAAGAAAAAAGGACCAACATATGGCTCCAGTGCTTTTTAAACCCCAATGAACTTAAGTATGTCAGCGTGAGCCTGGCTCTGCAAATCCAGCAGATACCCTGGAGCATCCCTCGTTCTCCCCTCTGGATCTCCTGGTGAACGGGACCCAAGCAGGCTGCTGTGCTTACAGGGTAGTACAGGCCGCGTTCCTGAGACAGTCCACAGCATGGCTATGGTTAAGAACAGGGTCATGTCCTCACTGAAAGCTGAGAGCAAGATAATTCCTTATTTCTCCATTTTAGGAGAAGATACTGTATAATATGCCTGGCCTACCCAGCCAAAGGGGGAAGTGATCTCCGAAATGTTTTCGTTTGTAAATACCAATGCTTAACCTTCTTGTGCATTACTTTCCAGCATCAAATTTGCATGGTGGCACATTCTAGCAAAGATTAGTGAGTATGGATAGACCTCGAGAGCTCACCGCCCTGTTAGGCATGAAAAAAAAACAACCCTGCAGTGCAAAAGTTGACTTGCAAACTTGGACGGGATACTCTGGCCTACCTGAAATTGAGGGGGCAAAATGTCCATAATTACATGAAATTGATTTAAAATATCCTACACTGACAGGAGGGGCTATATAATTCACAGAGCTCAGTGCAAAATGAAAACACGGAGCCCCTTGTTCAAAAATGAAGAGTTTCAAGAGAACAACAACAGAGCATTAAACCAAGCCTGTCTGAGCATGGGCCCTGCTCGCTGAATTTGGTTTCCAAAACATGGCTTATAAAAATGTATTTCTAAAACCATTTGGCTATTCACTCTCTATGGTTTGTTAGCTTTCTCCTATTATAGCAAGAACAACACTATCTTCCTTACGACGTATTCTATTTTGCCCTCACCCTCTTAAACAGCTTGACTCTCTGACAGGGGATCTGGAACTAATTTACTCATTTAATCAAGAAGAGAAGAGCAGTTTTCCTTCAAGGAACAGTCCGTTCCGCCTCACTGCGTGGCCCTCTGCCCAGTCTCCTCGACGTGCCAGGAGCCTTGAGGTGGGCACAAGGACAGGAGGCATAACGGGGTCCTGTTTGAGGACCCCACAGGAGACAGCCAACCCACACCTGAAGCTCAGACATTGGGGGGGGGGTGTTGGGTGCTGCGGCTAAAGAGTGGGCCAAGCCCCAGGCTCTGACCGCTCACTGGGAAGACTGGACAGCAGTGCCTCCAGAGCCCTGGGAAGCCACAAGTGCCCACATCTAATGGGGCAGCTGTGCCGTGTCCCAGACATTCCAACCAGATCGCCATTCCTTCTGGAGAAACGCAACACTTGAGATGATACTGCTAGGTACTGGGGGGAGGAGGGGAGGGAGAAAAAGGTAAAAAGGTTTTATTTTGTCAGTTGTTCGTTATTTTCTCCTCCACCCTCACCACCCCCCCAGTCCCATTTTTCTCCTGTTCAGGGAATAGAAACAATAGTATTGCAGTTTTCCACAAGGGTGGATGAACCGGGGTGCAAACACACAGGGTTAAAACACATTCCCTCTTGAAATTCGGCCCAAATTATGGGGCAGTCCTGAGGCCAGTGGAGTCCATGTGGAAAAGCAGTGCCGGGCAAGTTAGGAGGTGGGCTCTAGATCTGGGGCCCGGGATTGGGACCCAGTTGGACACTTTTTAGTTGTGACTGAGCAAGTTACTTCATGTCTATACCTCAGCCTCTGTAAAATGGGGGATGATGACCCCTTGTTGGGCAGTGGATTTTATGGGACTGAGTTAATTCATGAAAGTACTTAAAGCAGTGCTCAGCACCAAATAAACTGTCCTTTGCTATTATATTTAACTTGCATGGAAGGGAAAAATCACATCAAGTTCTAAAGACAAATTAGCAACTTGGTACCTGCCAGTTTGCCAGCAT